CAAATTTGTTGTGTGAATAAATCTGCACTCTAGATCTAGGATGAGAATAAGTCCACCCATGTGTGTGCAGAAATGATGTGCCTGAGTGAGCAATGAGAGCTTCAAAAAGAGTTAAAAGGTTGTTACCTTCTGTGGCGTGAGCATAGCACAGTAAACACAAGCCAGTGAACAGAAATGTTATTCAGCTGGACACGGGCACTGGGTACAGATGTTTCTGGAAGCCACGGGTGGGGAGAGCGGAGCTGCAGAGTTGACCTTCACTTTGGAGAAAGAGTGATTTAATTTTTAAAAGCATCTCCTTAGCATAATATGACCCTAAGGGCACAGGCAGCGCCGATGATCGAGTTGCTGGAGGAGCTCCCTCCTAAATGAAAGGCACCTGGGGCAGAAGGGCTTGTGCAGACAAAGCTGGGCCTGCTGGAAGGGAATGCCTTCCTCAATGTCCTTTCCCAAGAAGAGGCGAGCATATGGTTGCAGTGGCCAAGGACAGGGAGTTAGTTACCTCAAACGTGCTGTTCCACCCCAGCCCCAGACCACTGAGACACGTGGTGGCAATAAAAAAGCCAGGGTCACCACGCAGCTCTTTTTAGACTGTCTTTATAAGTGCTCTAAACTGGAAATGGAGACGGAACTCATGAATTTCAGGCACTGCCCGAGCTTTCCACCAACACTGGTGTTTGCCCCGCCCCAGTGACAGAGTGCTGTGCATCCGTTTAGCTGTACACACGATCTTAGTCTCTTATTTACAGAATCATGTATAGCAGCGATTTTCAACCTTTTTCATCCCATGGCACACATAAACTAATGACTAAAGTCATGCAGCACACCAAAAATTATATATTTTGCCGATCTGACCAAAAAAGGGTATAATTTAGATTAATTCACATGGGATGGCTATTGTGTTGGCTGTTGTCATTTTTTTTATTTGACAATCTAAGGAAAAAGAGGTCCATGCCCCCGACTCAGTAGTCAGCTATTGCATGTTTTAAAAATTCTTGTGGCACGCCGGTTGAAAATTGCTGATCTCAAGGATCTGAAGGGTTCAGGTGATGAAGGAAAAAATATGCTTTAGGGACATGCACAAATACTGAGATTGACAAGGTTTGGGGTTGAAATCATTTTCCCTCCATTTATTTGACAAAAACTGTAATGCCAGGTGCCAGTAAACAAAATGGCCGTGGCGTCCTGAAACAGCACGAGGCCTGTGGGGCTTCAACGGCCCAAGACCTCCCACCTTTGCTGCCCACCGCACTTGCCCTCGCTCCCTCACTCCGGCAGGCTCCCTGGCCACTCTTCAGTGGGCCGTGCCCTGCCCCCTCAGCGCCATGGCGCCTGCTGTTCCCTTGGCCTGGAACACCCGCCCTACAGCCCTACAGCGGTGTTCTCAAGGCGTACTGCCTTGAGGTCTCAGCTCAGATGTCACCTTCCCTGACTGTCTCACATAGTGTCCTTCCCCTCCTGGCATCTTTGGCCTTTTCCCTGCTTTGTTTTTCATCCCAGCATGCACCACCACCTGCTGATATGTTCTGTGTGCACCTGTCTGATCCGTGTCTGTCTCTGTCCCATGACTGAGGTGTGTGGGCCAGGGGTGTGCCTGTTGCACCCACTTCTGGACCCCTGAGCCCAGGGCAGCATGTCATTGCACAGCGTGGTGAGGGTTAAGAGCCTGTGTCCTAATGCCTTTGCCTTGCTGAGAGGAAAATCTGCGACAGCTCCCCTTGGGGCGAGCATATGTTTGCAATTCAGGATTTTTCAGTTCCAGCTCCAGCGTAGTTCAAGATCATGTCCTTTAGATTCCTTTCACTCCCTTTTGCTGTCCTCCCATCGCCTTTAGGGAGCTGATCTCTTTTTGCGCTGAGTGAGGGAGATCTCAGGGTGGCCCTCGGCACTCTGTTACCTGCTGGAGCTACTAGCTAGTGTCTGTCACAGTGAGGATCCCACCTCCGTCAATTTGCCCTGTGTTTGCTTTACCTTCTCGTCCCTCCAGCTACAGAGCAAGTAGCCGATAAGAAGGGAAAACAAGGGAAGTTAGGCCATTGCTGTTCACCATCCAGGCCAGTCATCCATAGGTACGTGACCCTCCTGGGGAAGCAGCTTGGACTGTATTAGGCCAGCTCTTGGGTTCTGTTGGTAATGTTTCTTAAAAACTGGAGTATGTCATGAACAAATTGAGGGGACTTCACATAAATTTCGTATTTGAGCTTTTCCTGAAAAAATAAAATGGCAATACTAGGAACACAGACCAATATGGCAGGTGTTGCCGGGAGTGGGTGCCGACTCCTTACTCACTGGGGCCCAGCCCCTCATTCAGTCTTACTCACTTAGAGAGCCTGCCTCTGGTTGCATCCACAGCCCCTCTCCTGGGTACCTGGTAGAAATTGACAGTCCCTCGTTTCTGCTTAAGCTTTTCTGTAAAAACCCATAGTCCCATCACCCAGCACTTGGCTATACTGGAAGCCAGCCCAGGGGAGCTGCTGTGTGTTTCCTTCCTGCTCCTGCCGATACCGCTCTTGATGGTGCTGCTTGAACTCTCATTCAGATACCACATTCTAACAACATAGCGGAAGGGTCTGGTTCTCCAGTAGGAATCTCTAATAATCAATGGTGATGGTTTCCTGAGGTCATGAGGGTAGAAGGATGCTGTTTTCCAACATGCTTTATACCACGCCATGTATATGTAAAGCACCCCTGAGAGGTCACACCTGTCAATTTCCAGTTAGTTAGAGGTGAGCAGTAATGTCAATCTTTGATATCACTGTTAAATAACATAACCCAGTTGCCTATGTTGAATTCGTATCCTCAGACCTCCCTCCCAAACTCCAGACTTGTATGTGTCTGCGCCAATTCAACAGCTCCACTTTGATGCCAGTATGTCTTGGACCCCACCTATCCAAACCCAAGCCCCTGCTCTTTTTTTTCTAAACCTGCTCCCCTCACAGCCCTCCCAGCTCAGTGGAAAACAGTCCCATTGTCCATTTCCTTAGGCCCAGACCGAGTCATCCTTAGCTCCTCTCCTTGTCTCCCAGCCACAGCAACCCTGTCAGGAAGTCCTGCCGGCTCTGTCTTCAGTGCAGACGCAGAATCTGACTGCGCTCTCTAAGCCCCCTGTGCTGCTCCCGTGCCTCGCCCGCACACCTGCGCTAGCCCCTGACTGGGCTCTCTGGTTTCACCCTCACCCCACTGCAGTCTGTTCTCCACCTAAGTCAGATCAAGTCATCCCCTGCTCTAAACCCTTCAGTCGTTCCCCATTTTACTCAAAGGATTGATCTTACCGTGCCCTCCAAGGCCCTGCGTGACCTTGCTTTCCCCACCCCCTCTCAGGCCTCCTCTCAGCCTATCCCCCTGCTCCCTCTGCTCCAGCCCCAGGTACCTTGCTGCTCCCCAGACACGCCACAGGCCGCTTACTTTGCGCCCGTGCCTCGACCGTGCCTCCCTGGTGCTCCGTGACGCCCACTCCGCCACCCACCTCCCCCCCACCTCCTTTACCCTGCTCTGCTTTTCTTGTTTTTCCATATCATTGTCTGCTACCCTATACTGTTTATTCCTTCTTTGGCTATTGGCTCTCTCCCCAGCGTTGGGGCAGTCTTGATCTGTCTGATCACTGCTATATCCCCAGTGCCAAACACAGAGCCTGGCAGAGTGGCACTCAATAAATATTTGCTGAGGAGATGAAATTCAGTGGGTAAAAGCCTCTTTCAAGATCCCAGCAGAAACATGTTGAGCAGTTCTATATTTAAGTGGAGATTTTTTTTAACATAGAAAGAATCCAGATGATTGTGAGGCAAATTCAAGTCATCATATCATTTTACGGTAGCTATTTTAGTATGCTTTTCTTTGTAGAGCCACGTAGTACTCCACTGTTATGTGGATATACCACAATTTATTTTATTGAACCAGTCTTATTGGGTGCTTTTTGCATATCACTTTATACTTTATAAAACCGATTTTCCACTATTAGGATTTTTTTCTTGAGTAATTTCTTTGTAATTCTTGTTATCCCTGCAAAAACAAAATAGAGCAAAACTATTTCAAAATACCCATCCTTCTCCATGATATATACTATTTCTTATGTATACTTTTTGAAGGGTTAATTTTTAATAACTTTTAATATTTGTAAAATTTTACACTTAAAGTACAAATGACACTCCCATAAGCCCTTCACCCAGGCTCACCAGTTGTTAACATTTTGTTCTAATTACTTTGTATGTGTTTTTTTTAATCATTTGAGATTTAAAAAATATGTCATTCTCTTTTACCCCTGAACACTGCATTATAAATAGTTGCCCCTCTGTATTCAGGAAGGATTGGTTCTAGGACCCTCGTGGATACCAAAATCCATGGATGCTTAAGTCCCTTATATGAAAGGACATATAATTACATTTAACCTATGCACATCCTCCTGTATACTTTAAGTCATCTCTCTAGATTACTTGGAATACCTCATATAATGTAAATGCTCTGTAAATAATTGTCATTCTGTATTGTTTAGGGAATAATGATAAGAAAAAAAAAGTCTGTGCTTGTTCAGTACAGACAGAACTGTCATAGGCCTAACTAAATAGTACACGTGTGAATCTGCAGATGTGGTATCCGTGGATACGGAGGGCTGACTGTATCTCCTAAGAACAAGGGCATTTGTTTTATATTACCACAGCACCCTTAAGTTACGAAATTTAGGATATTTAGCATTAATACAGCACTATTATCTAAGCTGCCGGCTGCGTTTAGATCCCTCCCCTCTCTGCAATAGTGTTCTTTGCAGCTGGTTTTCCCACCCACATCCCAGTCCCGGGATTGCCACTGCATTCACTTGCCATGTCCGCCACCCTCCACTAATCGGGAACAGCTCCCCGGGCTTGCCTTGTCTTTCATGATCTTGACATTTTGGGAGAGTGCAAGCCAAATGGTTTCTAGATTGTTCCTCAACTTGGGTCTAATAGTTTTTGAGCTGCACTTTGAGAACGCAATCTAAAGGGAGACGCCCTGTTTTCTGCCCCCAGGACCTGGAAGCCGAAGGGAGAGACCTCTATCAGCAACCCGAAAACCTGTGCTCCAGGCGGAGGACCGACAGGAAGATGCATCAGCTGTGCTCAGAGCCATCCAGGTAGAGAACGAAGCCCTGCAGAGGGCGATCCTGAGCAGAAAGGCCGAGCCCCCCACCAGCCTGCTGCAGGTGCAGGTGCGTTTGCATTCCTGGGCAGAGGGAAGGGCCTGGGAGGGTTTCGGGGGCCAGGCAGTGTCTGAACAGTGCTTGCACAGAGCACACGGAGAGGAAGGAGTGACGTAGGCATCATTGATGTGCCAAAGTTTCCATTTCTTCCACCTTCTTCTCGTTTTTTGTTTACTGCAGAAAGCCCAAGTTGGATACTAATATGCCTCCAAACCTTGCTAATTTCCCTGAAAACCCTAATACCTTAGACTAGGGTTGCAAACTGTAGGTAAGAGAAAAAAATGGAGTAAATGATAAGCTCTGGCTTCTCTGGAAAGATTTCATTCCCAGAGCATGAGCCGACCGGCCTCTATGTACTCACCACCCCTACAGTCCTGCCCCATCCTGCTTCTTCTGTTCAGAAAACCTCCCGGGCCCTGCAGGTATTTGAGAGTGCACCTGCTGCCTTGGGCTCTGTGCAATAAGCAGGAGAAATGGTGGGGTGGATCAGGGCCCCTTGGGGAGCTGGAGGCCTTGGACATGCCTCAGTGTATGAGGAACATGTCCTTTCTCGGAAGCATGTTCCCTTACTCAGCTGCTGAAACCTTTTATCTTAGTTCGTCCCACTCGATGCTCAGAGTGACCCTCAAACAGGCAGGGCTGATTTCACCGCCCCATTTTACAGAGGTGCCCAATGGCACCCAGAGGAGCAAAGTGGCTCACTCAGGTCATGTCCTTGGAGGTGACCTAGATCTGCCCGCCTGCAAGCCTAGGGCCCTGCCCACACCACCGGTTGCTCCCCAGGCTCTAGTGAGGCCTGTTCTTTGGGATATTCTTCGAGTAGCACCTGTTGTTTATTTCCCTGGAGCTCAGTCCTTTGCCCTGATGATGTGTCTATCACTCTGGAAACAGTCCCTGTGCCCCTTTTCCCTTCTCTGTCAGTGAAGTGTATGCAGTAGATGCCTTTGTCCTGACCTCAGATCATGTGATTACATCATTCCAGGAGTTGGAGGGACCACCAGCAAAATCGTGGACCAGTTTGCTGAAGGAGAAAGAGGAGAGCCCTGAGGTCAGTGAAGACCTGAGGGGAAGCACAAAGCCCCATGCCCACAGCACCGACAGCCTCCAGGGAGCTTTCCTCACATAAGCCCAGCAGGTCCTCACCGTGCTCCCTGAGCGCGGCGGTGTTGTGCCCCTCTCACCGGCGGGAAGGCCTGGCTAGCGTGGCTTACCCATGGCTGCGAGCGGACTCAGAGCCAGAACTCAGGCAGGCCTGCTGACTCCAGTTTCTTTTTAAATTTCTAATTCCTGACGAGACAACCCCAAAAATGGATCTTCGTGTTGTGAATAGATAAGTTATAGCTATATCAACCTAGGTCAATGAGGCCTATCTCAGCAAAGACAGCCCCAGCAAACACAGACATGAATTAATAAAATGTCCAGGAATGTCTTGGTTAGGTTGTGTACCAATCTGTGCTGTGTGCTCAGAATACAGATCAGGTTAGCCCCTGGCCTCATGAAGCTTGAAGGCAACAAGCAAATAAAGCCATAAATAAACAGGTAACTTCAGAGAGAGATGACAATAAAAGCCGACTGGGCCCTGATGGGGGTGGCTCAGTTGGTTGGGTGTCATCAGTTCAATTCCCAGTCTGGGCACACGCGTGGGTTGCGGGTTCGGTCCCCAGTCGGGACGCATATGAAAGGCAACTGATTGATGTTTCTCTCTCACACCGATGTTTCTCTCCCTCTCTTTCTCCCTCTCTTACCCTCTCTGTAAAAATAAATAAATAAGAATCATTTTTTTTAAAGCTGACTGGGAATGGGATGGTGGCTACCTCCTTCAGGGTGGTCCAAGGAGGCCCCTTGAACGACAGCCCATTTGAGCTGAGCCCAGTCTGTTAAGAAGGAGCCAGCCAGCAACAGGAAAGGGCATTTTAGGTGGAAGGAATGGAGGAAAAGCTTTGGAGTGAAAATGAGATGGCTTGAACCAGGAGCAGGAAGAAGCCTGATTCGTGGTGGGGAAGGAAGAGGGGGTAGGAGAGGAGAGAGCAGCCAATTGGGATAGAATGGTGGGCAGGGAGCACCAAGAGCACTGTAGTGGTTTTCTTTTTGTGTCCCTCTTATTTGCTCAGTTACTCCCTGGTCATCTTAAGCTGTCCCTGGCTGGTATTTCTGACATGTCTGCAACACTGCCCAGCCTGTGGTCCAGGATTTCTGGATGACCTGACCTCTGACTCACAGCGCTTCCAAAGTCTAAAGCCATTTGCAGATAGGGAGCAGAGCACATTTCCAGTTTAGGTGATACATGAAAAAGAAGGGGGAAAAGGTGAAAGGGCCTAATGACATTATTGGAATTCTCTATAGAGTCATGTTACTTTGTAGCAAACAGAACAGGGGTTGAGTGGAGATGGATAAAGGTGTTGATGAGAGATATTTTTTAATTTTTAATTTTTATTTTTAAGGGCCCTTGGAGCTTAGGAGGGAGAAAGAGATTAAAGGTGCAGGCTTTGAGGAAAAAAGAGGGGGAAGGCACAGGTGTGTATGAGAGAGAGAGAGAGAGAGAACATGAGAGAAATTTTTCAGTAGCTCATTGAAGCAGATTGTTCCCTGGGACCTCCTGGATCATAAGACACTGAGATCCGTCTCTTTGCAGAGCTCCTGTGAGGGGATTCTAGGTCTCATCAGCTCCAGGCGGACACCATTCTCATTCCTGTCCTCCTTCCTGTGTCCCTTATGTGTCCCTTTGAACATGGCTCTGCTGTGTCTTGGGCCAGAAGTGTCACCTCAGACATCTGCTTAATAAGATTTTCCATCCGTAGCTGCTTCCCATCACCGTGATGACCAGCACGCAGGAGCCATCCAGGGCGGCAGGGGGAGCCAGAGCCGTCAGTGAAGCCATTGACAGAATCGGCCTTTTGGGGAGCAGGTACCTACGGGGAGGACTTAAAAACAAAAACAAGAAACCCATAGCAACGCAGCTGTGAGGACCTCAGGTTTTTCTTTGCGTTTCCTATGTTACTCCAGATGGGTTAACGCTGCTCCTTTAGACTGTATCCTCCTTCACTCCCACTGCAGCCCGAAAATGCAAAATTGCCTTGATTTCTCTCAGGCCAATGTCTCTTTGCTTGTTCAGTTCAGTCCAACCTGTGTAAAACTCCAACCTGCTCAAACGTGTCCACCGAAGTATCCCACAGAGCAGACAGTGGCGAACTTGTTCCCAGGCCTGGGGTGGGGGTGGGAGGCTGGTGGTCCAAAGCAGCACCCTTTGAATCTTCTTTTCCCCATGAAATTTGTTCAGATGTAGCATTCTGTTTTATTACATGCAGCATCAGTTACTGGAACTGTCAGGTTTTATTATCAAAATAAAGGTTTTCCTCTAGTCTTCAGGCAAAACTGATCTTCAGAAAACAGTGCCAGGTTGAGCCTATACTTACCAGCTTGCAGTGGCCCACAGCCCCTGCCCGGGCCGCGGTGCAGAGCCTGCTCACTGTGGACTGTGCAGAGCGCCCGTGCTCGGCTCGGGCAAGAGGGATGTGCAGCCCAAACCAGCACCTGTGGGGTGTGTTTGTAGACGACACTCTGCTGGGGGTGGAATGCCCATGGCCTCAGGCACAAGAGGTGCAGAGCGGTGTCTAGGCTGGGGGTGGGCAAACGTTTTCAGTAAAGGGCCAGATAGCAAATACTTTAGGCTTTTCGCTTTTTGTGTCTTTGTTTTAACCACTCTTTGAAGAACATAGAAAGCATATTTAGCTTGCAGGCCATACATGTCACCCGCTGCATTTGACCTGCAGGCTATACTTTGTCAGCCCCTGTAGTAGACTCTTAGCAGTTATCGGTAAGCTTAAGCTGGCCATCTTGTCCCAGGTGTTTGCTTTTGCTCCGATTTCATGACTCATTTTACAGTTATTTATAAAAGGAGGAAAACATCTTGTATGCACCTTTGAACTGCATGTGGGGTGAATATAGTTGACCCTTGAACAACAAGGGTTTGTATTGTGCAGGTTCACTTATACGCAGATTTTTTTTTTATCCTCACCTGGGGACATTTTTTTTTTTCATTGCTTTTTAGAGAGAAAGCAAGGGAAAGAGAGAAAAATGGATGCGAGAAAGAAGCATCGATTGGTTACCTCCCATATGCTCCTGGACTGGGACTGAACCCACAACCTTTCAGTGACAGGGTGATGCTCCAACCAACTGAGCCACACCAGCCAGGGCGCAGATTTTTTTCAATAAACATACAGTAGGTGCTCCATATCTCCAGGTTTTGCATTTGTGGATTCAACCAGCTGCAGATGAAAAGCACTATTTTTGATCGAGGGTTGGGAATCCACAATGCAGAAGGCCGACCGTATGCATGCACTGTTCTGCCCCGTTTTATATAAGGGACTGGAGCACCCATGGATCATGATGTCTGGAACCAATCCCACACAGACACTGAGGGACTGTAGTTAAGTTTTGGGGAGTCACAAGTTATATGCAGATTTTCAACTGCATCGTTGGGGGGGATGTTGTTGCCCCTAACTCCTGGATTGTTCAAGGGTCAACTGTACCTTCCTTTCAGATTGTTACATCTCTCCGAGGGAGAAAAGCAACTGTGGCACCTTAGGTGGGAAAGGTCTCTGCTTTTTGGTCTATCATTTGTTACTGCCTGTTTACTAAAACAAGTCACATTTCAGACAACAGCAGAAGCTCCTGAAAGTCCTCCAGGCCATCGAAAGTGACTCTGCCCATGTGAGTCGGGTTGCTTCACCAGCTGAGGGGCAAGTGCTGGACCCAGAGGTAAGAACCTCGACTTTTGGGGATTTCCAGGTGGCTTCAGTGCTTCTCCGGAAAGCTGCCATTGGAAAGACCCCTTGATGCAGTCATTTCCTTTCGGTGGGGATTGCTCTGACAGCAGTACACTTGGCATCTTCCTGCCGAGTCTCCATCTCCCCTCCTCCCCGGCACACAGCATAAATGTGGTGGAGCAAGAAGTTTCAGCAGAGGGAAGCCTGTCCACACAAGAGGAAATATAAATAGCTATGAGCCCACAGGAAAATGTCCAACATCACTGGTAATCAAGAAATGCAAATTAGAGCAACCTGGATGTCCCATTGGCTGAGTTAATAAATTACTTTGATGGTCACCTCTAGAGCTGGCAAGGTTGCAGTAAAGCTGGCAGTCTGGCCCTGCTGGCAGCAATGTGAGTGGGTGGAACACTCTTGCAAAGCAGAAAGGCTGGACTTAGGGAGAGCCTTAGGAATGCTTATGTCTTCCAACCCAATAATCCCTCTTCCTTACCCTAAGGAAATCATTCAACAGAAATAAAAAGCTATAGGCACAAAGGTGTCTCCTGCTGAATTGTTGGAAGTAGAGAAAAATGAGGAAAAAACCCAGAAATAACATAAATGTCTCATAATAATGGCGGTAATCAGGAATGTATGATATATCAGCATAATGCAATAGTATAAAAGGATGGAAAGCATCTTTATGGAGATTATGCAGATAGGAAATGTTAAGGCTACAAGGTAACTGCAAGAGGCGACATTAATCTTCATCTAGTCCAACATGATTGCAACAACTGTGCAGAGAAAAGGCCGTGTGAGCGTGTTGACGGAGCTGAGACATGCACTGAAAAGTAAGGGGGCAGCGGGGGGAGGGTAATGGGAGATTCTTCTTTCTTTAGTGTCAATAGGCGTCTGTCCTGGCATATCCTCCTCACCACTTCCTATACCCAAACCTTTCTTATTTGGTATGGCGGTCACCAGTCTTATGATTGGCCAATGAGGGCTTTACATGAAGCCTTTCCAAAGCCACATGTAAGACTTGTGACAGCAGAAAGAGCCCTGCACCAGCCTAGACTAATTTCAGCTTTGAGTCTGGCACCATCATTGAAGGGTTGTATGTATGGCCTTAGACAAGTGTCTCAAGCTGTCTGGCCCTGGGAGTGTGTGGCTGTCGAATTGGGTGAATAATCCACAGCCCACAGGCCACTGTGAGATGGGAGCAGGAAAGGCCCAGGAGAGTGAACAGTTCAATGCCTGGTCCATATCTACTCAAAGTTTGCCATTTAGAAAAATTTGGAAAAATTAAAGCTCAGTTCCCCTCTGCATGGAAATTTCTTTCTTAGTGTGATGATCCTAAGTGTGGTGAAACTTTAGTCACCTTAAAAACAGCCTGGATTGATCGAGTCTCCCTATGTTTATAGGAGACAGAAAACTTAAGGCAAACAGATTTACACAGCAAAGAGAAGAAAAATGACAGTCTTGTAATAAATGCCACAGGTGGGACCAGGTAGGGTTTATCCAGCTGCTCCCACCGGGTCTCCACAGTGTGAGCTGTGTCCCTGAGCTCCCTCCCCAGCAGCATGCCCAGCCTCAGGTCTTGCCCTCTGACCCCGCAGTAGCTGGAGTGGTCCCCGCCTTGTGCCCTCTCACCCTCAGACCCCGCACTCAGGAGAGAAGAGCCGTGTCCCCTCATACACCCCAGAAATCCGAGATGGAGTCACATGCCTGTCACTGAACCAATGCCTCTGGAAGTCCAGGGGACAGGACACAGTGGTTCCTTGGACCACTCAGGTTCCTCCTGGGATGAGAAGAAGTTCATCCTGTACCTCATGTTTGAGCAGAGAAGGGGTAACCTCCCCGAAGGAGAGTCAGGTGGTGTTAGTAAGAGAGCGACAGTCAGTGCCAGGGACCAGGAGCCTCCCAACCAGTGTTTGCCTCAGATGCCCTCAGGGGACCTAAGTCAAGCAATTCAGAAGCAGGAGTAGGCATGGAGTTGCAACATTGACAAGTTGTGACACTTCCTCAGTTAATAGACCCTTCAGCTTCTTCATTTAGAAACTCCACTGCGGGAATTTGCACATTTTAGATTGCACTAGGTGTGAGATCCAGTGAGGCAACTCACCTCCCATCTGGCCCCCCTGCCTGTAGCCAGCAGCCGAGGTGAACCGTGCCGCTTCCTCACGCTGCCCGCACTGCTCACCTGGCAGTGGAACGCCCCTCAGAAGCACAAGCCTGTTAACCTCCCAGTCCCCCCATGTCAGTCAGGCCCCTTTAGGTTTCTCACCATCCTCCAAGCCTGGACTCAGGCCCCGGGTGGCAGAGGGCTTAGCCAGGGCCCTGCACGACACGGGAGAAAGAAACTGGGGGGTCTGTGGGCTGAGCTAATAAAAACAAGCCCTGTGTTCCTTCTGGGAGCTATGAGCTGACCTCCCTCCCTCCTCATCCCCATTCCCATCGGGTGGCAATCAAGGCTCCTCCACACACATGCTGAGAGCCAGAGCACGTGTCTCTGGCTATTAATTAAAAAACTAAGTAGGGAACATTTGCTGTTCATTTGCTCAGCTCCCTGCTCACAGAACCATTGCAGATTTCCAGTGCTATGTTCCAGTTAACAGAGGGCATGTGCATGCAGGGAATGCACCTTTTTTATGAGTGATTGATTGATGCATGCGCCCAGCACTGCATTTGGGGCCCAGGGGCCTTAGGAGACATTCCCCTGTGTGGCCATTTAATTGATGGCATTCATGCAGCCTCTCAGACCTAATAGCCTACTCACGAAGGAGGCAGGCGTTAAAACCAATGAAGGAGAGAAATACGAGGAAACAGGCACTTGCGGGGTATGCACAAGGGCCAGGACTTGTGACAGGGCCTGCGCTGTGTGCATATCTCACTCAGTCTCTGTGACACAATTGTCACATTGATAGTGTCATCCCATATTCCTCAACTGGACTGAGAGATGTCAAGTGACTTATTCAGGATCTTGTGTTATCTACTGTATTATTCTGCTGGGCCTGCCATAAAAAAAAATGACAGGCCGAAGGCTTAAATAACAGAGATTTATTTTCTCACAATTCTGGAGGCTGTAAGTCCAAGATTAAGGTGTTGACAGGTTTGGTTTCTCCTGAGGCCTCTCTCCTCGGCTTGCAGACGGCCGCCTTCTCACTGTGTGCCCTCACGCGGCCTTCTCCCTGTGTGTGTGCATCCCTGGTGTCCAAATTTCCTCTTCCAAGAACATTGGACAGAATGGATTACAGCCCGCTCTAACAGCCTCATTTAAGTTAATTATTTTTAAAGGTCCCATCTCCAAATATAGTTACATTTTGAGGTATTGTGGTTGGGGCTTCAGTGTGAATGTTTTTTGGAGGGGGTACAATTCAGCCAATAACATCTGCCCAGTCCAGCAGAATTTGTGACATACCTATAGGACATGAACACTTGGTAGTGGGGAAGAGGCATACATGATGTTCAAATGGAACCTGTTGCCTTTTAAACACTTTTTTGTTATTTACAAACTCTTGCAGGAAACATTAAGTGCCAGAGTACACAGTAGCTGTGTTTCTAATCTTTACAAATGTGAGCTCATTTAATCTTTATAATAACCATATGTATTGGGTGCTGTTCTTATTCTCATTGTACACGTGGGGAAACCAAGGCACTGAGGTGAAATAACCTGTGGTGTAGTGAGGAGAGCTGAATTCATCCTGTCATGTTTTTATCTTTTCGCATTATGTTTCTCTTCTTTAAGAACACGTTGAGAATGAAAGCAGAGGAGATGAAAGACGCCATCTATGTGACAATGGAAATCCTATCCACCTGGGGCAACACGTCACGGGTGGGTCTCACAGAAGTCGAGTTCTTTGACCTGGACAACACAAAGCTTTATGTGTCGCCTCATGATGTGGATATTCGTAACACAGACACACCAGGAGACCTGGGCCTCTTGGTGAACAGGAACTTAGCGGTAAGCAGAGGCGGCACTGGAGTGAGTCTTGGTCTTGGATTTTGATGTGTTATCTCTGCCTATAATAGGCCCATGATAAAGGTGTGGGTGTGAGGAGGGGAAGGAGAAGGCAATCTTCCAGTTTCTTGTTCGGGCCAGCTCAGGGGGAGTCTGAGGAAAGGCTGCAGATAGAGGCCTCCAAACTGTCCCTTCAGGCTCTTTCTTAGATCTCTGCTCTATGAGTTTTTCTTGGGAGAGGGGGGACAAGAAGGAGCCAATTCACCCTCTTTTCTTCATTTTGCAGTTTACCACAGTTATCACCAAACATGGGACCTCCGGCATTGTCGAGGTCAACACCCCCATTTTATAGGCGAAAAAACTAAGGCTTTGAGAAGGGCTTCGAATTAGCCAGGGGAATTAGCCAACTTCCCACAGCTGGGAAGGAGGGGGGCCAAGTGCACATCTTGCAGCCTGGCCCAGGGCGCGAGCTCACATGCCGTCAGGGTCCTGCTTCTCTAGGGCATTGAGTACACACCCAACGAACGTGGAATGTTCCTTTCCTTTAAATATCTAGCAGGGTTAAAAAACACACACACCTACACTGGGATTTTCTCTTTTTGCCACTGCAAGTTGGAGATGAGAGTCTGTGAACTAACCTGGGACAGGACACCCAGTGGCGCCGTCTTCATGGTGCTGTGCCCCAGAACGCTTCATCTCTGGGCGGCCCTGGGAGAGGGGCGCACAGGTTGCCTCTGGGCTGCAGAACAGAATGGGCAAGGGACAGGCCATGTTTCCCAAATTCTCTACAGAATCAATGCAACCCTATCAAAATTCCAGCAGCCTTTTCTGTGGAAATTGACAAGCTGACTCTAAAATGAATATGGAAACTCAAGGGACCCAGAATAGTTTAAACAACATTGGAAAAGAAGAGCAAAGTTGGAGGACTCACACTTTCCAAATCCAAAACTAACTACCAAGTTACAATGATCAGTACTGGCATAAAGATGGGTATAAGTCAATGAAATAGAATTGAGAGTCCAGAAATAAACACATAATACATCTTTAGTCAATTGATTTTCAACAGGAGGCCAAGACCATTCAATGAGGTAGGAATAGTTTTTTCAACAAATGGTGTTGGAACAACTGGATTTCCACATGCAAAAGAACGAGATTGGGCTCCTACCTCACACCACGTACAGAAACTGACTCAATGGACCACTGACCTTAAATATAAGAGCTAAAACTATAAACCTCTTAAAAGAAAACATAAATGTAAATCTTCATAGCCTTGAATTTGTCAATGGAGTCTTAGATATGACACCAAAGAACAAGAAACAACAGCAACAAAATAGACAAGTCAGACTTCATCAAAATTAAAGACATTTTTGCTTTAATGGGAGAAAGTATTTGCAAATTATGTGTGAAAAAAAGAACTCAAACCAAACAATGAAAACATGACAACCTAATTAAAATATGACCAAGGAACTTAATAGGTATTTATCCAAAGGAGATATACAAATAGCCAACAAGCACATGAATCTAAGATGATCATCATTATTAGTCATTATGGAAATGCAAACAAAAACTACAAACACACATCACTTCACACTCACTAGGATGGCTCTAGTTTTTTAAAGAGGAAAACAACAAGTACTGGTGAGCATGTGGAAGAATTGGACCCCCTCATACCTTGCTGGTGAGGATGTAAAAGTAAGGTATAGCCACTGGAGAATATAGTTTGGCAGTTCCTCAAAAAGTTAATGTAGAGTTACCATATGGCCTAACAATTCTACTCCTAGATATATATACCCAAGAGAATTGAAAACATGTTCACACAAAAACTTGTACGCAAATATTCATAGTAGCTTTATTCACAATAGCCAAAAGGTAGAAACAACCCAAATAGCTGATTAATAGATAAAGAAAGTAGGGTATATGCATACAATGGAGTGTTATTTAGCCATAAAAAAGGAATGATGTTCTGCCACAATCAACGGCATGAATGAACCTTGAAAACATCATGCTAAATGAAAGAAGCCAGATGTAGAAGGCCACATATGGTGTGATTCCATTTATAGGAAATGTCCAGAATAGAGCGATCCATAGAGACAGAAAGTAGATTAGTGACCACCACGGGCTGAGGGGAGACCGGACAGTGGAGTGGCTGCTAAAGGATACAGGGCATCTTTCGGGGTGATAAAATATGCTGGGAAAAGATACTGGTGATGGTCGCACAACCTTGTGAATACTAAAAAACCCCTACTGATTGTACACTTTTAAATGGTGATTTTATATATGTGAATTACATCTCAAATTTTTAAAAAGTGCAGAAAAGTCCCATGTGTCCTTGCCCAGCTTCCCCAATGATAACATCTCTGTAACCATAGTACATTATCAAACCAAGAAGTTGACATGGGTATAATGTGCAGACCTTCCTACACTCATTTATGTGTATGTGTAAGTTCTTTGAAATTTTATCATGTGTAGATTTGTATAACCACCACAACCACACTGAGATACAGAACAGTTCGGCCACCACAAAGGAATGCCCCCAAGAAATTCTTTATAGTCACATATCCCCATCCCCATCCCTAGTATTTGTGACCACTGATCTGTTCTCTGTTCTTTTTGTCATTTCAAGAATGCTATATAAGTAGAATCATAATACTGTATGTAACCTTTTGGAGACTGACTTGTTTACTCAGCATAATGCCCTTGACATCCATCCAAATTGTTGTTTGTATCAATAGTTTGTTCCTTTTTTTTATTGCAGTGATTTATTAAATTGGGTCTACTTTTGAAGGCAGTCTGGCATCTCCCTGAGGGTGGGTGGATCTGTGTTAGGTTAATGCTGGACAGAAAAGCCCCTTTGTTTAGGAATTAGACCGTTACCTCCTCAGGGGGGGTCTTCCCTGACAATCCATTCGAAAATAGCCTTTCCACTGGCCATTAATAATTCTCTCTTATTTTTGTCATCAAATTCATCCCTGCTTTATTTTTTTTCTTGGTATTTTTACTTGTTTGCCTCTACCGCTAGCACAGAGCGGGGACCCGGTGGGCCAGACTCCCTGCATCCCTGCATCTCCTCACCACGGACTCAGGATTTGTTGGGCAAGTGCATAGCAGGTCTGTCCGTGCCTGGCTCGGCCCATTGCCCTTCCCACTTTGGTGCCCGTGGTCTGCTCTTCAGACCACCAGCACTGATGTTCCTCCAATGGAGATTTTTTTTCCTGGCCTCCAGGGCCTGCTTTGTCTCCCATGCAGCAGGTACAAACAGGTGGGGAAGAGCCCGTTTGACAGAGAGGACCCCAGCTCCTTGTCTTGGTGGAGTCCCTCTGAGGCACCTTCCACACAGGATCCCAGATTGCCAGGAGGGGTTGAGCTCCAGGTGCCCACAGGAGTGGTTAATTTGGTAACACTATGGGCTGCCTTTCCCCTCTCCCTTTCCCACGCCCCAACTCCTGTTTCCCTCACTGTCTGAATAAACTCCTTCTACTAGACCCCTGCCTTGGGGTCTGCTTTTGGGGAATCCAGACTAAGACAAAATGAAGTAATCAATTAAAAACCATGGCCCTGGCTGGGCAGCTCAGTTGTTTAGAGCATTGTCCTCATACACCAAGGTCGAGGGTTCCATCCCTAGTCAGGGCACACATAAGAAGCAAAGAATGAATGCATAAATAAGTGGAACAACAGATCAATATTACTCTCTCTCTCTCTCCCTCTCTCTCCCCTCCCTACCCCCCCAAAAAAACCTAGATATAAATTCTCACTCCACCATTTTGGCAGACCACACTCCTTGCGGTGCTCTGGTCCCCATTCCATGACACAGGTGTCACAGCAGACTTGTCCCCCAGGGCTGTAAGAGAATAGTGGCAGCACCGAGGTGCCCTGGTTCTCATGCTGCCGTCTTCCTCACCACCTGTGATGGGCGGGCGCAGCAGACACTCTGCCTGCTGGCCCGGCACCTGGGGGTGTGCCCAGCATGTCTTGGTTCAGTCCTCAGCAGCTTCCCTTCAGCAGCCTGCCTCTCAGAGACTCTGTGGAAAGGAAACATCAGAAGGCTCAGTTGCTAATGAGGCCTTGAGTTCTGTTCAGATTCATGTTCTTTGACTTTGAACACTATGATTCCCACTTAGCCCTCCTGTTATTCCTCCTGCTGACAGAAATGTGAAGGGAAATCAATTACAGCCCTCTCGCCAATGTGCAAGGGTCAGCCTCCAGTCTCTGCCTTTTCAAGCATCCACAGTGACCCATTTTAGGCCCCACGTCGGTAAAGGAATGAGATTCCCTCTGCTGGATTTTGAGATGTGATATCTTGGCTCCCTCACAGCTGCCCAGAGCACTAGAAGTTCTTGCAGAGCTTGTGAAACTTGCCAGAATAAGTCAGAACCCCTTGAACTCATTTCTCCCCCTTAACAAAAGCAGGCCCCCCCATCCCTGAAAGGCACTATTTTCACTGGAACAAGCCACCTTTGTTCTTCCCTGCAGCTGGAGCCTGGGCCTCTATCTCCTGGGGGCCTGCAAAACCCCAGAGTCAGCCAATCTCCTCCTTCCCTGGCTCTGTCATTTAGCAGGCATGGTCCTGGTGACAGGAGTCTGTTGAGACTTCCTCAAATACAGGGCAATGCTCTTATTTAATAAAAGGGACAACTTTCGCTAGTGTCAGAGATGCAGTGGTTGCTCATTGGCACATGGGACTTGCAACTGTGTAGGCCCTAAGCAGAGACCCTAAACTCAGATGCCAGCAGGGGTCAGGCAGAGGCAAAGTGAGGGAAGTGAGACTGGTATAAAGGCAGCAGAGAGTGGTGGGGACTGGGGCGCCAGAGGGCATCCCCTCCGGATATCAGGGACCCCATGCTGCCAACTGCCTCTTCCAAGTTTGCAGAGAAGCCAGGAATCCAGCTGGGAGGAACAAAATTCTCTCCATCTTTAAGTGTTGGCAGCACAGTTGTCTTTTTTTTTTTTAGAACACTTATGAGCCAAACAAAATAGCTGCGCAGGCCACATTCAGTTTACAATCTTTTATAGTTTCAATGAGAGGACAGGCATTAGGAGGTAAATTTCACTTCTCCATTTATTTATTCATTCAACAAAAGTTTTTTTGGCATTTATCATGTGCCAAGGAATTGTGCTGCATGCTAAGGGTTCTGGAATGAATTTGACATGGCCACTTCCCTTAAAAGAGGTGACCACTGAGTGTGGGGTTAGTGACATGGACCTGAAAGCAGCTCCGTGTGGGACACTGAGGGAGGAGCTAACCTCGGGCATCGCAAGGAACTGCAGGCGCCCCTGGAGGAGAGGGTAACCGTGTCAGGGGAAGGGGTGACAGTGGGAACAACAGCACATTTGGGCTGAATTTCCCCGAGTGAGGACAGGAAGAGTGTTGCGCCCAGAGCCCAGACTGGGCAAAGGCGCAGAGACCGAGCCAGTGTGATGTCTGGGAGCCGCTGAGAGCTTGGTCCGGGCAGAGTAGAAGAGGCATCCGAAGAGACGGGAGGAGGCCACGAGAGCCGAGAGAAATCCCCTGATTTGGCTTTTTCGTCTGCATCCAAAAGCACTCGTGACAAAATTTCATTAATGTGAACAAGAATGACAGCAATCGCTCTCTGCCTCTCTGACCTTGAGCGTGGCCTTGGCCGTCTGTCTGGCGGGCTGGCAGAAACGGCACACTGGGGCCCCGAGAAGGACAGTCTAACTCCTGCAGCTCAGCGCCACGGCCCCACCCTCACAAACCCCTGGGTCAGTTTATTTCTTTTTTATTTGAAAATTTGACAGTGTTTAACAAAAGAAAGGGAAAAACTCGATGACCAGGTTTATCAGATAGGGCAAGTGGTGGCTCTTTTCCTATCCTTCCCTCTAGTGCCCTCCCCGCCCCTCGCCCCAACGCTGTCCTCAAAGCTGATTCCCTAAGGCCCGCTGCATTTTAAGTTCAGTCTGGACAGTGGAGCTGAAGGGCCCCAGTGGCAGCTCTAGGTCGGGGATGGGGTCAGTCCAGATAGAGTGAGATTCAAGACTTTCTGCCCGTTATCCCCGGTTATGTAGAGAAGAGGGCCAGGCTGCCTGCCCTTAGCCCTCTCTGGAGTGTTATTAGGGAGAGAGCCACTGCGGGTGTGCTTTGGGGAGAGGAAGCGATGTACTGACCACTTCCTTCTCTTGCTGGTGTTTCAGAGCAAGAAAGACCCCTCGTTGTGGATGTGCCCCTTCCACCCACCTCTCCAGCTCTTTTTTGTTATCCGCAATACAAGACTCCTGCATGCCTTTGGTCTGGCCAAGATCAAGGTTTGGAATTACTGGACGGCTGATGGCGTAAGTGTGAAACTTGCCAGGCTCTGATTCTTCCCTGGGCATTTGATGTTGGAAGCACTTAGTGCTACCTAATAGCCTGATTTCTGAAATTGCAAAATGGGTATCAGGAGACCCTGCTGGGTGTAGCAAGTGCCTGCGGAGAGATTTCACAGGGCCACCAGGAGCAGAGTCTCCACTTGAATGTTCGGGAGGTATAATCAGTCCACACTTTGGACGAACTGGAAGAATGCTAACTGAGGTTCAGTTTTAACAGATAAGGAAATAGACACACAGAGAGGCTGTGGAATATGCCCCAAGTCACACAGCCAGTAAGCGTCTGAGTGAAAATTTGAATCTCTGAAGTGGGATTCCAGGCCCATGCACTTAGCACTTCTCAAACTTTGATCCACAATGACTGACATGGGATCTTACTAAAGTGCAGGATCTAATCAGCAGGCCCAGCGCAGTGCCCAAGATTCTGCATGTCACCCAGCTGCCAGGTGTGCCACTGTTCCTCGTGTGTGGACCCTGCTCTGTGCTTGGCTGCCCCTCTGGTTTCAGAGCCCCTCCTTCTGCCTTCCCACCACTACCTACACCCAGGCCCTCATCCTTTCTCTTTCACTGGACTGTGCTTCATGTATTCGTTTGCATTTATCCCTTCATTCAACATTTATTATTGAGCACAAAACTAGAGGACATGAGGCTGTGTGGTCAATTCCCAAGACTCCGATGTAAGACACAGTCCACGCCCTAGAGATACTCCTTGTCTAAAAGTTGGCAGAAGGTAAATGTAGAAGTATAATGTAGTGTGATAAAGACCCCAATAAAGGTGAACCCAGAGTACCGCGGGTTTCAAACAGAAGCCCCTGGGACTCAGCGAGGAGCTCAGTGGGTGAGGGAGGACAGGCTCCCTCAGCCTACTTTCTTTTCTGTGTTAGGACAGACCTTTCCAGTCTGCTATAAGGGAAGTTATAGGACGAGCACTCAGCCTCAGTATTGTTAGGGGAATACTAGGGCATGGTGGGAGCGTGGCAGGCTGGTAAACTCAGACTGCCTTTGCGCTTCAGCTAACAGTTGCCATGTAGGAGTGCCAGCCAGCACTACTGGCTCTCCTGACCGTTCCCAGGGAGCTGGGAACCTGGATTTTGCTGCAAGCCTTTCTGGTTTGTGAATGTCAATAGCTAATTTAAATTCTTTTGAAACTACAGTGCAGTTCAAACCGAAGTGATCTTTGGGTCAGAGCTGGCCTGCCCCAGGCCGTAACCCTCTGGGCATGTCGGAGGGGGCCTGCCTCAGGCTGGGAGAGGTCAGGGAAGACAGCTAGCTGCAGGGGCGCAGAACTGAGCCCTTCACTAACCTCCATGGTAGTTGCACCTCTAGTCCCCGGTCCCTGGTCCCTCCCGTCTGGCTCAACTCAAAATGCCTGCCAGGCTCGTATTCCTAAAAAGCCTGGATGGTCACTTTCCCAGGAAGCCAGCCTGACTCTCGAACTATTTCTGGACCTCATGAATATGTCCTACCACGCTGTACTGGGATTGATGCCTGCCTCCCTGACAGCACTGTGGGCCTCCTGGGAGCAGAGCCTGTGCTGTCTCCACCTCTGCTCTGTTCAAAACAGAAATGCATGGCTGTTGAATGAACGAATGCGTTCATTCCCCCGCAATGGATAAGCAGTTGTCTGACCCGTTTTGATATCCAGATGAGAGACTACGAGTGTTTGGGTACTTACACAAGGTCCTGAGCAGATTAGAGGCAGATGAGGGGTCAGTCAAGAGAGTCTGTGCTTCTCGCTCCTTCCTGTCCTCCCTCCCCTACTGCCTCCTGCTGATTCTCCCACCTAGCAGCCTGCTTCCTAATAAATATCTGCAAGGCTCAGTAGAGTTGGAGCTAACTGGGCTTGATTCACACATGACTCTGTTCAGAGAAGTAACAAAAAGCTCTTTCTGATTTCTATTTTTGAGGTTTTAAAAATACCTGAAGTTAAAATTTAAGAATGAGTCCGAACCACTGGAATAAGCGAGGAAGTTTCTGTGAGAGTATCAGCCTCCCTTTCTCCACAGACTGGCCCCGGCCCCCATGTGCCTAGGGGTAACCCTAGACCTGGAATAGAGCCCCAGCCCTGCATGGCCACAACGCATGCCTAGCATCTAGGGCTGTTGTCCTCTAGTGCCCAAGTCCAGTGGGTGCTTCCTGGAAGGTGGTCACTCTCATCCTCTGGACTGGGTGATGACGTAGTGCTGGCTGCCCAGGCCCCCGCCCTGGAGCTTGGCCGTGCCATTGAATATGTATCTCAGGCCAAGAAAAGCCGATTTTCTGTGCTGGATTACAAAGGAGATAAGCTTCATTCCTTTTGGCGAGGCCGCCTTCTCCTTTAACCTGCACTCAGCCTTCCCTGTGTGCTGAGAATAAAAAAGAGGAGCAGGACATTAGGGTGGCATTGCAGGCGCTTTGAGGAGCCGTAGGCTGCGGGTATTGGAGGCTCGAGGCATTTGCACACACAGGGTGGAGCAGGGAGCACTGCGGTCCCTCTCTGGGCACCACGGGCGTCACGCGCACCTACCCATCTGTTGCCAGAATTGACCGGGGGCAGAAAGCACAAACAAATGCAGCTGCAGGTTGATTTGATTTAATATTCTCCGGAGAATGCTATTACTGTGTGTTTAGAGGAGATAAAAGAGAGTTTATAGGAAATACAGTTCAGCCTGGTTGACACAACTTGTTAATATAGTGTTTTGTGTATGGAAATCCAAGGAAGAAAAGTTAGAAGCAGGAGCTAATCCATCCACGGCTTGTTTAGAATATGAGAAAAAAAGATGCTAGAAAATACGCTGCCTTAAATACTCAGGCTAACTTTTATGGGCAACTTTCCCCCTTATTAGGTGATTCGGTGAGTGTAAGCTGGACCGGAGGAGAGGGACTTGAGGGGGAAGTAAGGAGACACAGAGGCCAGGATCCCTCCATACAGCACCCAGGGGGCAGCACACAGATGTCTACTTGTCACAGCTGTCCTTTATCCAGTGCTGCGTGTATCAGGCAGGCCTGCAGCACTCAGTGAATATTAGATGTATAAACAAATAACTGAAAAAAATGTATCATCTCAGTGACCCCCCAGCAGTTCTGCAAGGTAGGTGTGTCAGTCATCACCATGGAGATGAAGACTCTGGAGCTTACACAGTGAGATCCTACAGGGCAGACAGACTGTGTCTCTTTTGCTCACTCTGCTTAGAAATGATCTGGAACCTTCCTTCTGCTTTGCCAAGGAAAGTGCCTGATTGATTCATGATGTCTGCCTTGGGCTCAGGAGGAGGACATGATAATAGGCTTGTCACAGTTTCTGGTGTTCCCCAGATTAAATGACTTGCCCAGCCAGTGAGTTGTAAGTGACAGAGCTTGGAAGGGAACTGAGGTCTGTTGGTTTTTCTCTGATTTTCTCAGCACTACTTCCCCAGAGAGTGACATCTGTTGGGAGGAAGGAACCAATAGTCTCCTTTTTATAGTCAGTAGTAACCCATCCAAAAAGTGGGCTTCCAGTAGCTCCGCACCTTCCATCTGTTTTCCTTATAACAGTATATCAGTTACTGCTACAGGGCACCGCCTGTCAGTAAAACACGCACACCGTCTCTGTCTTCCCCCGGAACAGCACCATCCAGACGCTACCCGCAGCCTGGCCGCAGCAGTGAGTGAGGCAGAATGGACACCCAGGGACATATTTTACGCACAGAAATGCCCTCAATAAGTAGTTCATGAATGAATGAACGGACATTGGATTTTCATGGTGGCATATTTCTGTAACATGTCCTGATGGCCTAGGCTAGTGTTGCTCAACAGAACTTTCTGTGGTGTTATTAATAATAGCACTACATCTCCCCTGTCCAGTTCAGTAGCACTAGCCATGGGTGGCTGTTAAGAACTTAAAATGTGCCCAGTGCAACTGAGAAACAGCATTTCATTTTGTTAGTTTTTTTAACTGAGATATAATGAGCACATAACATTGTATTAGTTTTAGGTATACAATGTAATGATTTGATATATGTGTATATTGTGAAATGGTAACATAAAAAGTTTAGTTAACATCCATCACCATATAGTTACAAGAATTTTTCTTTCTTGAAATAAGAACTTTTAAGATCTACTCTCTCAGCAACTTTCAAATACAATACAATGCAGTATTATTAATTGTAGTCACCATGCTGTTCACGACATTCCCAGAACTTATGTATCTTCTAACTAGAAGATTGTACCCTTGACCACTCTGACTCACTTTGCCCTCTGCCGCCTTGCCCTGCCTCTGGCAACTACCAGAGTTCTCTGTATCTATGAATTCAGTTTTTCTTTAGATTCCACATATAAGTGAGATCATGCAGTACTTGTCTTTCTCTGTCTGACTTATTTCACTTAATCATGATGCCATCAAGGTCCATCCCTGTTGTTGCAAATGGCAGGATCTCCTTTTCATGGCTGAATAATATTCTGTATTGTGCATATATGTATATATGTATGTATGTATACACACACATTATATGTCACATCTTCTTTATCCATTCAGCTGCCACTTAGGTTGTTTCCACAATTGCTATTGTAAATAATGCTGCTGTGAACATGGGAATGCAGGTATCTTTTCAAGATAGTGATTTCATCTTCTTTGGATAAATACTCAGAAGTGGAATTGCCCCACCACTCCTGGCCTGCACTCCCCTTTGCTGTCTGCAATAGCAACTGACTCCCACCTTTGAATCCTCCTCCCTTCCCTTTACCTCTCACTGCTGGTCCCCTCTAAGTTTATTCATTTCCACCGTCAAAACCTGTCTCCTTCCAATCCCAGCTCCTCCTTCCCCCTTCTGCCTGCTGCCCCCAATGCAGGACTCATCACTGTAAGCAGCGGCCTCATTTATCTCCCTGCTTCATTCACTCATCTGCTCAGTCCCTCAAGCTCATCACCAGAGGCTTATTGATCACCCCACACTTAGGCCTTGTCCTTGGGCTGGGAATCAGCCACACTCCCAGGCTCCCTCAAGCTTACT